CCATTCTGACATGGATTAGACAGGCAGCCATATTGTACTTGGCAACCAGGTGTAGGCGATGTGAAAGCTTGTCGTTTCTTTCTGGACGGTGACGAGCCGCTAACAGAGTTTGAATAGGTTTCAGAATCCAAACTGATGCTGTTCCCGTTAATGATAAAATTCTGTATAAGAAATCAAATCACTAGTGAAGTAATTGTAATTTTATTGCAAAGACCGACCCAAAAATCATTTTTTACAGATTTGCTTGTTAGATTTTCAAATGAATTTTTGTGGTGTGGGTTTAATTCATTTTATTCATGTTTGCAGTTATTGGTTGCACTGTTGATATGGAATTATAACATCTATGTTTCAGCAGCAATGTAGTTATTGTGTTTGAGTTATGAGACTGCAAGAATAGTTAGCAATGACGACAACAACACTGACAACGAGGACAAAATGCTCACCTCTAGACAACCAATGTAGTTATTATAGACTCGTAACTTAGATCTGGCGTAAGTATCCATAACAACACCACCCACATACATCACACCATTCAGGCTCAGAAATCCGGTTCTACTTGTCGCTAGCGTAGCCGAACAGATCCCAGGGCCACAGTTACGATTATCAAGTATCACAGAAGCCGTTCCTCCAATTATGGTTACCATGACAGCATGCTGAAGTTCGTTATTCAGAGTCTGCCCCAGTGTCACTTCAACTGTTTCACCTCCAATATCGTAGGAGACACGTACACATCCTTTGTAAAGCTCAATGGCAAGGTAATCTGGATACCCATCAGATTGTGTCTGTAAACAAGTCAGAAGTTATATTTGTTAGGGCCGGGTAACCTGTATATATATATATATATATATATATCATGTATTTAAAGTAGTAGTTACTATTTTATAAATAATTGCAGGCCCTGTAACATGAACAATGTAATAAATCAAATGCTGCTTGTTATGAAACATACCCCAGATGTATAAAGTATAACAGCATCACTTGCAGCAGTCGTGAACTGTATGTTGATAGTTAGCAATTCGTCCTCTCCAAGAGCTCTTCGTCGTCTTCCTTGACTCCCCAGCATCCTGACAAGATCTTGTATCGACGGGTACGCGATATATTCATTACCAGTGAAGGTTGCAACATTCACGATAGCACAATTCTTACCAGATATTCCTGTGAAAATGAAAAATTATACATGATACTGAACTTATATATAGCGCTGTGATATGACACACTGTGATGCATTCAACAAATGGGTCCATGCCAGCTGTGGTGCATTATCCTGCCAGCCACGTGTACTTTTACATTGACTTGATCAGATAGAAGTCAAAAGAAAAGTCCATATGGCTAGATACCTAGATACATGTACACCAAAAATACAATTTAAGAAAAAACTGAATAGACTATTGTGAATGTTGTCCCTGTTTGTACATGTGGCTTAATAAACACTTGCATACAAAAAAACAGTCTTGTCTTTGTTAATATCTGTCAAAGATGCGATTACTGTTTCAAACACATTGCTAGCAACAGCATTGTCAGAAGTTTTACTGACTGGGTTTGCTATGAAAAATGAATCCCCATTGCCTGGAAAAATTTGTATAACAAATTTATATGGGGACTTAAATTTTTTTAAATGTTAACAACAGTTGACCTTGCTGGCAATAAATTAATTTCATCATAAAAATGCCCTCAAATACCAGTTAGAACCAGTTTTTGGAAACAACAAGAAACCAACAATACATTTAGTGCTTTGTACCTTGTGGGCAGGAGCATTGGTAGAGATCTAGTTGGGGTTCTGTGCAGATTCCTCCATTGCGACATGGATTAGACGAGCATTCCTGGATATCTTGGTCACAATTGTATCCTGAAATCAAATTATAAAAAGGAAAATATGTTTTTGTAAATTCAACAACAGTGCAAAGAACATACTTATGTTTCTGGTCACTGCAAGTGTTAGTAAAAATGTCATAGATTTAGTTTTAGGGGTGTTCTGGTTCTGAAATTTAGAAAAGATAAAAAAATACAGTTTCATGGCAAAATCACAGATTTAATGACAATTTCAAAATAAAAAGCTGCCTCCTGTGTGTACCGATTTTAGACAACAAATTGACCAAAAATTTGTTGTTCTTTGAGTCATTAAAATTGATGATTCTGAAGCAGTTTTTAGAAAAATTGTTGATAAACATCATCGACCATTTTAAGAATACATATCATCCACTGGACTATAGAGGGCAGTAAACAAAGAATGTATTATTATTATAATATCTCAACAAATGACCTACAGAGGGCGCTATTCACAATTCACCTGAAAATCAGAGGCTATTTATTTACAAGTGTGGATCAGACTTGCAAAAAAAACAGATTTTAATTTCCATGCATCACAACTTCAATGATACTTGAAATTACAAGATATGTCTCTCCATCATAAAACCTTTTAAATTGCTGGAATTGGTAGCTTGAATCTGATTGGCTACTTACCAGTATAACCAGGTGCACATGTGCATGTATAATAGCCTAAATGATCATTACAGTAACCAAACACGCAGGGATTCGGAGAGCAATCATTAACATTACTTGTACAATGCAAGCCTGGAAAATAAATACAGGAATTCAAAATGAAAAATATGCGCAAAATCACATGAATTCACGTACGGTCTGTAAAAGTTTTCAAATCATACATGTATCTGTAAAAAACAATTACAGTGCATAAATTGTTTTGCATATGGTGTATGTAGACATCAATGACAACCTCACCAGACTGGTGCAAGTTACTTTTGTGGACTGACTTGTGAAGTACTGTAAAATACTTTATTTTTGCTTGGAATTGATTTTCGCTGAAGGAATGATTCAGTGAAAATAAAATCCAGCAAATATATCCTTCCCTAAATTTTAGATTCAACTCATCAGAAATCAGTTTAAATAAATTCCATACAAAACACTCAAAAAGGTTTTTCAGCGAAAATTAATTTAAGCTAACATAAAGTATTTCACAGTGTTCTAAATATATTAGTTTGTTCGAAGTATCTTACACACTCAAATTATTGAATAATAAAGACTTCAGACAGTGATGTTTTAATGGTTTACATTCTGTTGATTGAAAACAAGCTGATGGTATACAGAACTATGGTGGTGACAAGATGAAACTTACCAGTCCATCCAGGTAAGCACTGACAACTATACGAGTTGAACTGATCAACGCAGATAGCATTATTCTGGCATGGGTTAGACATACATTCATCTGTCTCGTCAGCACAGTTCTCACCTGAATAAAAAAACCACATCAGGATTTTTGTTATTTTACTCATGCACATTAACAGCGGCAGTCATGTGACACTTAAATATTGATTTTCCCACAATCCAATGCACTCTTCTAATGGAAATCACAATTAAGAGGTTTGACCTGGGAACGACTTATCGCCGGTGACTCTTTCGATAACTTCAAATCACCTAAAAAATACCTAATTAAAGCTTGGTAACGTCTCAGTTTGTACTCGCTCATCTGCGCAACAGTCAAGTCGCCATCTTTGTTCATATGAGACCCATATATCTCGCGTATATGTGGCGCGATGACTACCGCCCTTTAAACAGTAAATCTAGAATAATCTAATGTTTGTACCTTGTAATCCTGATGGGCAGAGGCATATATATTCGTTGATCAGATCCAGACACGTGGCCCCGTTCTGACATGGCATAGATGCACACTCGTCATTGTTTATTTCACAATTACTCCCGATGTACCCCGCTGGACAGATACAAGTATATCCATTCACTTCGTCCATACATGTGCCGCTATTCTGACAGGGATTAGATTCGCACTCGTCTATATTAGTTGTACACTGTACACCTGGTGGATGAAAGGCGAAATTGAACATTAAAACTATTTGCAATGTGAGCCATATTCTAAGTCTGAGACTACATGAACGGGATATGCCTATCATTAATCACATTATGGCATTTTCATACGCTACTGCATAAAAAGATATATTTGCCAACTTTAAAGGATGGTGGCTGTAGAGTTGCATCAATTTCTGTATGGGACTCGTATCGACATACACAACACAATACATGTAAAATACATTGTTTACACGAAATTCGGTCATGCTGCACAGTGACCCCTACCCTTTTATTTCATAGGGGTATATGTTTCGGGTTTTAAATTCACTAATTATCATAGGAAACGATACATTTCGTGGTCAACATAATATTTAAATTACCTACCCATAAACCCTTGAAGGCAATAGCAGATATAAGAATCTACCATATCTTGGCATGTCCCACCGTTAAAACAGGGATTAGACGTACATTCGTCAATATTCACTTCGCAATTATCCCCGGTGAATCCCTCAGCACAATTACAGAGATACTGTGAGCCAATGAACTCTTCACAAGTTCCACCGTTGAGGCATGGTTCTGATTGGCATTCTGGGTAATCTAACTCACAGTAAACTCCCATCCATTCTGGCGGACACTCACATTGGTAGGTTCCAGCGTAATTGACGCACTGTCCGCCATTTTGACAAGTACCGACTTGCTGACATTCGTTGACGTCCAGGGCACAGTTGACGCCCTCCCAGCCATCCAGACATACACAAATGTAACCTGAATTGTATTAATAAAAAAAGAAAAATTAATTTTTTTTATGAAGTCCACATTCAACAATTTAAAGGATGGTGGTCATCACACAGTGTCATGTCTTGTATGGTAGTCATAGCAATGTAAACAATGCGTGTAACTGTTTGTTAACATGAAATTCAACGACAACCATTGCCCTTTAAAAGATCAGAATTTTCCAAGTAACTTATTTAAAGACGTAACAAACAGAATTTCCATGGACATGTTAATTCAACATTTAACACTCTTCATGAGAAAAATATTCAATCAACCAATAATAGGTAGAGTGGAGACCTCATAACATACTCAATAATTCTCGACTAAATGACAAAATATTTTTGGTAAGCATTTTTCCACATCATTCAATTACCGTAGACAGAAAACTAGCCAAAACAGCCAGAAACAAACACTATCTTTCACAGAGATCAATATTTCAAGAAACGTATGTTTGTAAAACGATTTTGTGATTTCACAATTTTTTCAACTGCTTCAATTTACGTTAGATCATAGGTCACATACCACACACATATATATCCTTATTTTTTTTTTTAAATAAAATACTTTATCTTTTAAATCCTTGATATTATACCTAGTTCATACAAAATGTACAATTTATTGTGAAAAAAAAACTGAGGAAATAGTATACCCTCAAAAAAAAAAAAAATATCTGTGGACAACTTACCATTCTCTGTATCTGTGCACTGTCCTCCATGCTGGCAAGGATTAGAGAGACAACTAAACTTATAAATCTGACAATTGACGCCCCAATAGTCGGGCATACAGTCACAATCATATCCTGGTATACCATTTGTGTTCTCGACGCATGTACCGCCGTACTGACACGGATTAGAGCGGCATTCATAGATGTCTCCTTCACAACTTGCACCTGAAAATTGAGTTTGAAATAATTATATCTAAATCCAGAAAATTCAGTTATATTTTGAAAATTTGTTGAAAGCACTCTGGTTTCTGTGATGGCTAATTTATTTTAAATTTCAAGAAAAACACTTTTCTAGGTTATACGTATTTGTTTACATTTGGGGGTGGAAGGTCCATGTAATGTAATTTATAATAAGAAAAAAGAAAATGCAAACTGAACTCTTGAGGGCAGTATTATATTTCTTTTGCAAGCAGACAGAAAGACCCAAGAGAAATTATAAAAGATATCTAAAAAATATTTATTTACCTAACTTTGAACATTCACATTTTGTAAGTAGAGAGTAGGAAAAACACAATATTTTTGAGTTCTTTAGAAGGAGATCTGTGACGTCCATAAAATTTAGTTTTTGCAAAAGTTATCGAAACATGAAAATCACAAAAATTGCTCACGTAAATCAAAAGTATGGCCTCCATCAAATACTTATCTGAGATTACTAGTCATTGACATGGGTGGGTCCATGCAACCAAACACAATATTTGTAAAATTAATTCAAAACACAAATGTATTCTGCATGATGAAAGCGGTGCATTGAATTTGATACTTTCCCATGATGCCTTGCACAAAATGTCACCTACCTGTGAAACCAGTCGGGCAATAGCAAGTGTAACCAAGTTCTGGATTCCGAGGAGACACCGACCTAACGCAGGTTCCACCATGCACACATGGGTTGGGATCGCAGATATCGGTGTCAATTTCACAGTTAATGCCTGTGTACCCACTAGCACATGCACAGTCATAGCGAAAGTCACCGTCCACACAGGTTGCACCATTCTGGCATGGATCACTGTAGCAGTCATTGATTACGATGTCACACAAAGCCCCAGCCATTCCTTCTGGGCATTCGCACCTATAAAACAGAAAATTAAAAAATAATACCAAATATAAACAAGCAGCCTATCGGCTGAGATAGCTCCGCTGTTAGCAATGCACATTTCAATTAAAGAACTGAAGACATCATTAGAAAATGAACAATATGAATAGTATCAAAGCAATCGGACTTACAGTTTTTAACAAGAAGTCGAAAATATCACTTTTTACCAAAAATTACAAAAATATTCACCAAAATAAATTAATTAGAGAATTGAAGATATCATCACAAAACGAACAAATCTGAGAGAGGTCCACATGTAGTACCTATATATGTAATATCAAAGCAATTGCACTTGCGGTTTTTAACAAGAAGTCGAAAATATCAGTTTTTACCAAAAATGA